AAATAATAAAAATGGTAATATCTAATATTTTTATTTTTTATTCAAAAAAATAATCAAATTTCAAAAAAAATAAAATAGTAAAAATTGTCCATACAATAACACTTATTATACTAATTTAATAAAAACCCAATAGTAATATTCTAGTAAACAATACTAATTTTGTAGTTTTTTTTCAAAAAGAGTTTGAAAAAAACTGTAAAATTTGATGGCGACAAGCACCAAACCCAAAATCAATCTAATAAAACGCAAGATTGTCAACTATACATTTTCGCTTTCGTTTTGTTTGTTTTGTCGTACGAATATGTTACAATGTCTTTTTGTTGACAATGATGACTTTCAATTATATACAACTCTTCAACATTCCCCTTATCTTGAAAAAACTCGTTTTGTTCTTCCCGAGCCGATCCAGACGTGTAGTTATGATCACACTTATTTTTGTTATTCTCCACTTGATATTCCCACCAAAGTTTTTGTTTTTTCTGAAAAAACGAATTTTTCGGTTGATTGTAGTGACGTAGTGATTTCTATAAACATTTATAAAGGGAATCTAGTCGTCATCACCTCAACACAATTCATTATAATCACATTAGAAAATCAAAAGAGAAAAACACAGAAACATTCGAAGATATTTGATTATCGACTTCTGAACTCATTTATTGTTATTTTATCTGAAAAAGAGGACAATTGGATCTTGGAAGTTTTTGAAGTCGTAAATGGTATACACTATCTCCAGACATATTCATCACCTGTTACAAGTTCTACAAAACCATCTTTTGAGTTGGTTTCGATATCTCAAAGGGACTGGATATTTTTATACCAGTCCAGTGCAAGAATCGCCAATTTAATTCCATTCAATTCACATATTCCTTCTCTCCCAAAAAATATTCTGCTTTTCCAAATCCCAATATGTTCCGATGCGTACGTCGCGGTAAGTGGCGATTTATTATTTGTAATGACGTCTTCGGGGACTTCTGCTATTTTCGATGTTCTTGTGAATTCCGTCACTCCTCTCAAATTATTCGACTTTGATTATTTACGTTTGTCTTCTTTTAATTTATTTTTAATAAAAATTATTTTATATTTATTCTATATTTATTCTATAGCAGTCAAATGTATTCGAGTCAACCAAAACCAATTTGTCGATCTTCACAAGAATGAGTTAACTATTTTAACGCCGGACTTTGTATCTCTCTCGGAATTATTACAATACAAAGATCGATATTACTTTCTTCAAAAACACCACGTATCTCCTTCTGTGTTAAATGAAACTTTAACAAAGATCTTTAAAGACTATGAGAAAGGAATAGTTTCATTTCAAGAGTTCAGTCAAATCATTGGAGTCGTTGACCCCTCTGTGATCGAGCCTATATTGATTCAATGGAATCCAAAACCATCTATTTATATATATGTAATGTATGAATATATCAATGTACATGTCAAAAACGTGAAGCCATCGTTGTATTGTAAATTAATAGATGTGTTACTTCAGGACTACAAAGGAATGCAACTCCTCGACTTGTTACAATGTAACATATTCCCTGACGACGAACTGATCGCTACTTTCTTACTTACCAAAAAGTCACAGTGCCACTTCTTCGCTCAATTTGCAATTGACATGTTAAGGCGCCTCAAAGTCAACAACGACAATCTCTTTAAGATCATTTGGATGGAAGAGGGCGTCACTGAAGCTCTCAACTTCGCTATCGAAAACAACGTAGATCTTTCTAAAAAGGAAAATTCAGTTATAGTTCAAGACTATGGCGATGAAAATTTATGTTATCAGCTTAATCAATATCTTTCAGAGTGTAATTTTAATTAAGTGTTGTATATTCATATCTATTTAATAATATATACTATTGTTATATTACTATTGTTATATTACTATTATATTACTATTATATTACTATTATATTTTATTATTTATAATAATATATATTTAGTTATTCAAACTAATAATTAACAAACTATACAAATAACGATTTAAAAAGGAGAATATTGTGCAGGTATTTGTGATTGTCTATATGACCCAAGAACTATAACACCAACACTCACTATAACAAGAGAGACAATTAAAGATATGACAACTTTAAACCATCCCCCCATTCGTTCAATTCCTTCGGAAAATTTGTTATTTGAAAATTGAGAGCGGGGTGATTGTTTGTTGGTTTGAACAATCTCAAGATTGTTCGAATCATGAATCCTCTCATTTTTGATTTGACTACTTGCAATGATATTCCCATTCTTGAGTTTCTCTTTGTTTCCTTTAGTGATAGGCAACGTGTAAATCGTTGTTCGGATTTTTGCTTTCTCATTCGTTTGGTGTGATGCAGCGGTTGAGACTTTCACAGACAACAAAAGACTCTTATCTGTATTCGGCAAAAACTCAACTATATTCCCAATCCACCGCCTGCAATCTCTTTTAATCACTTTGAGGCATTCCTTATTTAGCGTCACTGAAATCACAGTTTGAACCGTTGTGTCGGAGTTACACGTGGATACACGTAACATTCGTTTTGGGGGAAGTCTGATTTTGAATTCAGTTTCCACCATGTTTGTGTGTTTGTCACAATGCTCGGTTCGGTTGTGAAAATTTCCGACACTAAGTACCGGGGAAAAATAAGGAAAATCTGATATCACAGGGATTTTGAGATGAGTTGGTGATGGAACGAGTGAGGTGTTGTTGGCAACTTTTGGTTTTGTTAAAGTTAATTTTATAGTGTTTGAATTTTTAGTTTTGAGTGGACCACGTTTTGGGATGTTTAAATTGATTGGTCGGGGAATCTCATCTTTTTTCGCTTGCTTCGGCATGTATTTTTGAGATGCTTTTTGCGTTTTAAGAATTGAATTTGTTGCTTGTTCCAAAAACTTGTCAGTAGAAGATATGAGAAAGTCGGAACGAGCCAGTACTTCTCGAAGGTCTTTTCGTTGTTCTGACAAAACTAATCCGAAAATGAAAAAAAATAAAATCCACACCATTTAAATATAATTATGAGATCGTATTTTTTTGATTTAAAATATCATTTTTATTTTGTCATTTTTTGTTACATCTCAAAGGTTTCATTTTTGAGATTGTGGTAGAACGACGGGATATTTGGGGGAAGAAAATGTAGCAAAAAATGGGAAAACACCGAATAAAATCAGAAACTCCAATAACAAAACCCATGCAATCTGAAGCGTTGTTTGCCCTGACGATTGTGGATGTGCTTTTGTGTTGGGTAGCTTACTTCAGAAAGTTGCGCTTGCTGAGAATGATAACAAAGCCGTTATTTTGCTTAATATTATTGGTGTTTTTGTTGTCGGCTGTGAAAATAGAGTATCACATCAAATTATTTGGGGTTGGACTCTTTTTTTCATTTCTTGGTGATTTGTTGTTGCTCAAGGAAGGGCTCAATTGGTTTGCGTGTGGACTTGTATCATTTTTGATAAGCCATATTTTTAACATTGTGTCGTATTTTTCCACACTCCATTTAGGAGTTACGATACCAAGCCTTGTTGTTCTTTTCATAGGTGTTGTGTCGTCTGTCCCACTTATGCAGGGGGCCAAATCAAAAACGCAAATGCTATTTACTTTACCAGTCCATATATATTCATGTGGGCTTGTTGGTGGAGCTTTTTGTGTCTTTCAAACACTTGGAAGAGAAACGGGGAGTGAATGGAGTGAGAAGGCTGCCATTTTTAACGTAATTGGGTATTTGTCTTTTGTAGCAAGTGATGCAGTGTTGGCGTACCATACATTCGTAAAGAAGTCGTTTTTGTGTTCGATATTGATCATTACAACTTATCATGTTGCTCAGTTGATGCTTGTCTTTGGTCTTATTTTTAAATCGTACGATTAAGTGGTTTCCTCAACCCTGTCGTAATTATTTTTTATTATTTTTTTGTTAATCACACCATTGAGTGGTGGTTGTTGAGTCCGATTTCGACTCTCTGTATTTGTTTATCTAAATTGTTAATTTCCAAACAACAACAAGTTTTGTTGTTGTTTGTTTTTAGACTATTATTTGATTTGTTTTGCTTCTTTTACTTGGTATTGACAAAATGACTAATAATGACCATAACGAAGATGAAACAACAATTGTTATTCTCCTTAAAACAGCACTTGTACATTAATAAACGTTTTCAATATCAAATTTGGATTATTTTGTTTTACAGTCATGGTTCCATAACATTTTCGAGATGAAACGTCAAACTTTGAGGACAGTTTATTCCTCAAACCAAAATGATCTTGAAAACATCAAATAACAGTTCGTATTAAAACATTAAATCATTCAATTCGAAAATCTTCTTTGAATTTTTGGCTATTATTATATCTTAGTCATTTTTTTTAAACAGGTATTAAAAAATCAATTTTATGTAAGATATTTATTTTAGGAAAAAAAAAGTGTTTTGATTTCATTTTCGTTTTTTTGATTTTTTTGGAACAATTGGAATAAAACAGAAGATTTTTTGCAAAAACAAAAATGCATTTTTTTCACTTTTTTTTTAACAATTAAAATACATTAATATTTATAATTTGATAAACAATACCAAATAATAAAAATGAAATAATTATAAGGGAATTAAAAAACAACAGTTTTAAGAAATTTACCATTTATAAAAAAATAGTTTTGGTTTCTTTTCAAGAAAAGTGCTTTGTAAGTTTTGCATAACACAAATAGCAATTAGAAGTAAAGAACGGTATTTTTTGGTGAATTTCCCTTTATTTTCCACCATAATATCGGTACCCCATTCACCATATTCCAAAGATCTTTAGCCAAACGAAACGAGTAGATTATTCAAATCAGTTATTTGATTAAAAAGGTAACGAAAAAACCCGGTACAACAGAGTTATAAGCTACCACAAAAACGAAGAATTTTAAATTGTGTTTTGTAAAATTCAAAAGACAACATTTCAACAGAAGTATTTCGAATGGGACAACAAAAAGGAAAAAACAATATGTTAAGAACAGGTGGTTAGGCAAAGACGACGGGATATAAACAGTCTTTGTCTTCATTAATAAATTTCTGAATGACCGGATCGTTTTGATTCAACACAACGTCTTTATTTTGTTTAACAAGTGAAAAGAGATAGTCATTGAGTGCTTCTCCACATGCGACGATGTCTTCAGCTCCGAGTAGCAACACGTTGTTATAGAAGACCTCATGGATTCTTTCAATTTGCAAGCACTTCGACGACTTTTTCGATAGGACACTGTTAAAGAAGAATCCCAACGAGAATGCGATGTCATACATGAAGTTAATAGTGAACGTCGATCTGTTCTTTGCAAATCGTCTCATTCGAGTCTTATCTGTTATAGTGTTCACCTCTGTGATTTGTGCATATTTCTTGCACTGCGTCTCAGCAATCTTTTTGACTGCTATTTCTTCGTTATTCAGTACTATTGTGACAACTTCCGGTTTACTCGTGATTGACACAGACTGCTTGAATGGCTTCTGTAACTTAATCGAACAAAATTGATTCAATAAAGCTATTAATATAGCTTGCTCATAACATTCAAAATTCTTCATTTTCTTTTCATTTAGTGAGTACCTTGCAACGTCCTCACGGCAACGCCTGACGGGTGTCCCCGCTATCCTTTCCATAAGCTTTCTCAGTTTCTCAAAGTTCTCGTTTCTTTTCCTATCTCGGTCTCAGTCACAATCTCACCCATCATTTTAGTTATTCATATCTTCCGTGCATTCAGACCAATTTACCATTCCTTATTAATTATTTTACCATCTATCTATGAAAATATCAAAATGTTTTGGTTATTTTGGTAAAAAAATATACCTAAATTTTAACAAATGGTTCGTCCTTTTTAAACTGATGTCGTGGTGATTAAATAACTGTTTAGTTTCTAATAATACCAAAGTCACCTGTTATCTTTTTTATAGACCTTCGAGATAAGTCATATCTATTTTTGATCAGATGTCCCATCTCATTGGTTAGAACAAAACTATACCAAAGAACTCTTTTTGCCATAAACTACTTGATCATTTGTCTGTTTGACGCAATCTTTCGGGACGATTCCCTCAAAACTCTCAATAAACAAATACTAAACCCTTTTTTAGCTTTGAAGTTTTGTTGAATGTAATTCAGGGTTTCCCATTTCCGTAGACTGGTTAAATGAATGTAGTATATTATATAATAAAAGAAACTATAACAAATAGTACATCAATTCAATTTTCACCCCTCAACATCGTTAAAAACAGGCCATCTGTTGAAGCTCATCGATCGACGGACGTTTGGATGGGTCGAAGGCAAGACAATTCGTCAGTATAGCAAAGGTCTTCTCTGTTATGATATCTATTTTTTCGAATTTACTCTTGTCGATATGAGCGTCACGTATTTTGTCGTCATTAATAGCGTCCTGCATCTCCAAGTCGAACATCTCCCCGATCTTTGCACAAACCTCAAACTCCGAATTTGCTTCGAAAAGTATCACACCAGTTAATAGGGTGTAAAAGACACATCCAATCGACCAGATGTCTATTGCAAAAGGGAATTCCGTTGTACATATAAAACTTTCTGGCGGTCTATAGAAAATAGAGACCATATTCGACTTGATATGGACGTTTGGATGCACCGTTTTGGCGTTTCCAAAGTCAGTCAAATAGAGTTTGTTGTCTTTGATGAGGAAGTTTGAAGGCTTTATATCGCGATGAACTATACAATTTGAATGAAGGTATTGCACGGCTTGAAGGATTTGAGCAAATCTGTTTTGAACATACAAATACTTCTCTTCTAATGACCGTGGGACCGTAAGTTCCATATCGAGAGAACAGTCGCAAAGGGGAAGAATAATAGAGACGAGGTTTTGGTCGACAAACACGTGGAGGAGAGAAATGATGTTTTCATGTTTCAACGAGGACAGGTATTTGATTTCGCGATAAAACTGGAGTTTGATTTCCGATTGCGTGGAGTGCGTTTTGTATGATTTCATTGCATATTTCTCACCCGTTTCCTTTTCAACTAAATAGATATGAGAGAACCCACCTTCCCCAATCTGCTTGAGCTTTTTGTAGCTTGCAGAGTCACTCATTCTTTTCAAGTTTTCTAGTATTTTTCTATCAACAATAGTATCTTTTCTTTAGTTACTTTTTTCTAATAAAATCTCCTGAAAAGTTAATTCTAAACTCTTTTTGAATATAGTTTGTATATAGTAAATTCAATACTTAAAAATAACAAATACACTTCTAATCAATAAATAAGTAATGGATAATACTTTTACTATAATGAAACAAGTTCTAAAGAAACAGAAAAAGTTATTAACTCGAAAACGTATCTACATGTCACAGGGTACAAATATCGAGCCATTAGTCGACGCTGCGCAAATAACACTACCTTCACAAGATAAAGAGATTGAAATGCAAACGATTGGAAATCCCGAGAACATTTCAAGTAAAGAGAACGTCATAGATTTCGATGAAAACGAAGAGGAACCCAAAATAGATTCTATTGAATGGGTTCTCTTTGCTATTCGCGAACAAGTTCAAAAAGCCAAAGTAGTTTTTTCGTATTCACTGAACACTGAAAAGTTCAGCAGAGTCTCTTTGGTAGTCATTTCGGTGTTATTTATTGTGTTTGCTATTACATACTCATCAACATCGACTTCAATAGGGATATTGGATTGTCCACATATCTTCCAACACATCTTTTTCTTAAAACTGACACATGTCATCATAGCTGCGCCTAACATCCGTTCTGCGCCAACGATGAATTCGATGAAATTGTATGTGATGATGGGAGTGTTTACTGTTGTGAGTTTAATAGCGTTTTACTTGTACCAAGGTCTTCTTTCATTTCCAATGCAGAACTTGGGCCAGTCGATGAAGTTTATTCCAATCATTTTGCTTCGCCCATTCTTCAAAATTCCACTCAAACAAGAAGACTTGGTCATGGGGACCATCACCTTATCTTCAATTTTTGTGTATGTCATCGTCAGTAACTCGACACTGACGGGATTCTTTCTTTTAATGACGTATATCATCTTCGACGCACTTGTTATGGTCTTCCAGTCGAAAAACTTCACAACAGGAGGGTATTGGGAAAAGACCTTCTACCCATCTCTTGTCGCTGTTCTCATCATTACACCACTTGTTCTCTTCTTACAAGAGGATTTCAAAATGGAAAGCTATGTCTTGTGCCTCATCAATTGTTTATCGTCGGCAGCTACTCTCATCACTCACAAAACACTCGCAGTGAACACGCGTGGAAAGGTGTGGATGAACGCTTTGCACGTCGTTCGGCAATTCGGAAAACTCTGTTTTGTCGCTGCAGTCTTCCAGA